TTATAAATACTTGAAGACAACGAGTTGTACAATAATAGGATTGAAAAATATCGGTCGCTTTCTATAAATAAACAATAAGTGCAGGAAGTAATACAATGTCGCGGGCGAGAAAATAAAACTTTGAGAATAGATTTGCAAAAGCTCGAGCTCGAGCTCGAGAGAGAAGGTGTCCGATTTGGCAGTCGAAAATAATAATCTCGTAGCAGCTCGATCGTAAACTACAGCCACAGTGCGCGTAATTGAATGATTTAATATGATTAGGCGCGTCGCTACGTATATCGTACGTATAATGGCCAAATATGTATCAAAGTAATACAAGACAGTACAAGCTGGTAGGAGAGAGAGGTGCTGCTGCGAGATAACTAGCGCGAGACAACACGACATCCGGTGTATTGTTGATATTTAAAAGAAAATTTGTTTTAATCGATTATCATACGCGCGAGAGAGAGATCAAATGAAACGAAGCACAATGATGATATACTCGGTGCAAGGAGACCGAAGCAACGATCGGGTGAAATGGCGAAAAAGCTGCGAAAAACACGAGAGAACTAAATGTTGAACTATATAAGCGCGTCGACATGGAGCGAAACGAATCCGAAAGTGAAATGCGCGCGATGCTATATAGAAATGGAAACATCAACACATGGGTGCTTTGGTTAGTGCAGTAGTAGGCTGTGCAAGCACGTGTTGTTTTACGAGTTGGTTCACTCGGCGTTGGCCGCGGCGGCGGCGTCCGTCGTCGATTCGCTAGTCGTCGAGTCTCTCAAGGGTCGAGAAAGAGAGAGAGAGAGAGTCGGGACTGGGGCCAAAAATAGCCGACTGCACACAAGCGGCATACGAGAGGCAGCAGCGCATTGCATTATATACAGCGGCGGCGACGACGAGTTGCGAATTGGCGCTGCAGTATAGCACGCCGAGTGTGTTGTCTCACGCAGTGCAGAGCTGCATAATATACACATGCTGGCGCGCGTGCACGTACGCCATGTATAGCGTGTAGGTATATGCGCATTGGAAGTGCGGCGGCGAGCGCGAAACACGGACTGCGGACTGGTATACAAAGATTGGCTGGCCTTTTATATAGCTGCGTTCGCGGCGGAAGCTTTCGGTGTATAGCCACCGCGAGAGCTGAAAAAAGGACAGCGAGCCTCGATAACGTTATAAACAAACAATGGCTCGAATCGTAGTCGCGATGCAGTGCCGCCGCCAGCAATAAACCGGTTCCCCGTTCCCCAAGCTCGACTCTTTCTCTCTCTCTCTCTCTCTCTCTCTCTCTCTCTCTCTCTATCTCTCTTTCGGTTCGCCTTGCGCGCGAGAGAGCTATTTGCGCCGCCACCGCCTCGCTTGCCTAGAGCATCTTGTGTATATCGCAGCTCGCTGTCTTTCTGCTGTACTGCGACTACATATCTCTCGACCGAAAATCCATCGATCCTCGATGGATCCTCGATGGAAGTCGACGGCGACCGAGCGTCGATGCGACCAAGTGCAACGACGATTTGCGATCATCAGGCAGCAGCAGCAGCAGCAGCAGTCGCACTCAACTCGGCTCTAGAGTTGCGCACGCGCAGTCACTCCAGCGATTATTTATTTTTTTCCTTTTTTAAATCGCATACGTTCCACCACCAGCGCATTACTACACGACGACGACGACCAGCAGCAGAAGCAACACCAGTTACCCTCCCGCTTCTTCGAGGCATTTTTTACTCGCATTCCGCTCCAGTCACACCTATGTTTCTTGAATAAGTTGTCGCGGCGTTACACATGCGCTCCTATATGTATATATGTAGGTACGCGCACCGATACCTGCCACCACTGCTGCTGCTGCTGCTGCTGCTGCTTACAACGCCGCTACGCAAATCTCCCAAGGCATGTTCGGTATTGTGTTTGCGAGGAGTTATTTTTAGACCTCTATACCGATCGTGCCACGAATAATAATATGGATATTTAATATTCAGGCTAACTTGAAGTTAAATTTAGAAGACCGAGCGAGCTTTTACTTGTTTTAGCAAAAAGTTCACGCGATGCTCAGCCATACACGCTTGAGATTCAACCTGTTCGCACTCGCGAATCTACTTGTGCGTTAGCGTCAACTCTAGCATGACCAACGACCAATGCCGTAACAATAACGTAATTATTGCTCGGCTAAAGACAGAGCCCGCGTGTGCACCGCCGGCTCCAATAGTAGTTGTGCGTACAAGTGGCAATCGCAGAATGTAAAAGTGACCTTTGAATCAGACTCGGTCGTCGCCGACGATGACGAGCTGCTGCTCTGCCGCAGAGACACTATAATGCATCGTCGTGGTGCAGCGCATACCACGTGACCTCGAGTTGAATGGCATCCAATATCGAAGTTCCGGTTAGTTATCGCGCGATTTTTATTCCCTATGCCCGATGATGTAATTGTGAAAGCTCGCTCGCATATTCGGCGGAGACGGTCGGGCCAAGGTCATTTTGCTCTCTCTGTTTGAGATTTAACTCGATGTTTGCAAAGTGTTAATTTGCAAAGCGGATGATGGACTATTTGATTTAGCCAAAGTACAAGAGCCCTTTCTGATGATCGTGTTTTTTTCTTCATCAAAAGTTGTAGATGTTGTGTTTACTAGATGAACCAAAATGGTTTGACTTCGCTACTACTTAATTGTTCATAATGCATAATTGCTCATAATATTATTTCTTTGCTCAAGGACATTGTGCGGATTTTTTCCTCGATTTTATTCTAGATCGTATTGTTGTCTGATTACGCGTAATACTTGACTTTTTTGGTAATTCTGAATCTTCAAGCGCTGTCACGAAGGTTTAAACATTTATTGCTGAATATTATTACCATAACACGTATGCGTTATTATTGATGAGTTTTTAGCTCGTAAACAACGCAGAAAATGGGTAAAAATAATTCATTTCCTTGGAACTTAATTACTCGAGATGAAATGATATTTTGTTTGTATTTCTTGAATTAATTAATATGAATTGTAGCGAACAGTGCGTACTATTTACTCATCGCGCAGCGCGCGCTTGCAAAAAAATTCACATTAAACAATATTTAGTTTACCATGAATAATTAACCATCTAATTAGTAACGAGTAATTTTCCTAGGCTTTTCTTAATTAATAAGACATAAATAGAAACTGTAGTGAATTGTTTTTGGAAAATTCATTTCAGGCGAAAAGCTCCACTCAGACATTTCGTTTATAATTTTCCATCGATCGAGTGTACATGAGCAAAGCCTACACATTGAAACGTATATCGACGAGCGAGACATTTTAAAGAGCGAGCTTAGAAATTATTTTCTTTCAATTTTACTGCACGATAAGGAGCATTGCAGCGCTTCGATATCAAGTACGAGCTTGTTTACTTACGGGTTTGCAGCGCGATTCGAAATGAATAAAATGTGAAAAACAGCGAAAGAAGAAGAAGAAAAAATACCACATATAAACAAGACAGCTTCAAAAGGAGAATAATTATATCGACAACACAGCGAACTATTCGAATTTTACGTGACAATGATAAGACAAGTTTACCGAATTAAGCTGACGACGCGATTGTATATTTTTAGCAGTAATTTATTTGATGTTTGATAATTAGAAGAATATGTGTAGAGCCTTGTTCATTAAAGACTGGGACGATTTTATTACTGCACATGATTTTGCTCGTTTATTGAGACATTTTAAATTCGGTGGATAAAAGAATCGTGTTTACTTGATAGTTATAATTTTTGTCATTTTTTGTCATAAAGACTTTGAAGTTTTTGTTTTCAAAAGCAACGTCAAAATGATTAAGCACGAACAATGTCAGATGCAAGTTATCAGCATTTTTTATGTTGAAATCTCATGCATCGCCAAGTCATCGGGTTATGTGTATATGTGTAACGAACAACACCGATGCACACACACGCACACAATCCGTCGAAGCAAATCCCTACACGATTATTATTGAAAAGCTCCGAATGAATGATTGAAATTCGCATAAAATGGAAAACGATCGCTGAGTTGTAATATAAACATACGAGTGGGTTTTCGTAGCAGGCATTATAAATTGCGCATGTCGAGAAGCCAGAGAGTCATATAGCTCGAGCCGAGCGATTGACAAGCGTATAAAAGCTTACGTATCGGTCTCTCTCTCTCTCTCTCTCTCTCTCTCGGTTAAAAAATTGAATATCCTCGCGAGTAACGTAGCCGACATTACAGCACTGAAATTAGCTCATCCTATTTTTAGAATCGGACGAAGAAAAGCAGTTATCAACGCTTGCCTTTGATACGATAAAAAGACCGAGATACATTCCGTGCATTGAGAGCTGCTGGCTGTTGTTGCGACTGCACAATGTTTGCCGATGATTTTTAGTCAAACGGCATAATTTACAGCGCGACTATATATTCGACAGATGCGACTCGCTGCATCGCGTTAACGCTCAAGCTATGCTGATTTGTTCAGGCTATGCAAAGCACTCGACGTCTCGCACGTTTCTGGTGCTTTTTGGCATCGACTATGAAAACGATGTTTGCTTTTTTTTTGTATTTCTGTACACTCGTTATTGTGTTTGAGCGATCGAGAGCTAAACTTCATTGCCGCAAATAAACACCTCTCTATCTCAGTCCCTTTAATAAGGAAATCTGCAGAAAAAAATTGTGTAAATAACTGGAATAGTTATTACAGACAACGGGGTAAATACACATTGTCGGCAACGAAACGTCAATAAGCTGAAACGGAGTCGTACAATCGAGCCTTGTAAGTCATAATGACAAGTGTATAAAAACAAACCCATAGTACGGTTGGATGAGTTTGATAGGCTCAGGTATTGTGTACACAGTGTACGCGTAGGCATAGGCTCGATTCGACCTCCCCCTACTCAAATAGGTACAGATCCAAACGTCAACGAAGTGTTTGCCCCGAGTTGGGAATAGTTGACAATAGATAAGGCGCGCACGCGTCGAGAAAGAAACGGCCTCCGATGGGGCTCTTTCTCGGTGGCGATCGGTGTGCATGCAGACACTTTTGTTCAGACTTACCCGTCGTTTTTGTCGATTCGCTTGAGGGCCACGGGCTCCTGCAAGCCCGGCGGCTCGGCCGATATACCCTGGGCCCTTTGCTTGCGCGGCCGCAGCTCCGAGCTACTGGCCAAGGGCGATTTAAAAGGCAGGACGCTTTGGAATTTGTCGAGGTGGCTCCGCAGCTCGAGAATCTCGTTCTCCTGGCGTCGCAAGCGGTCCAGCAACTCGCCGATTTTCTCGTCTCTGTCTTTTATCTGCTCCTGAAGTTCGTTGAGCTTGAGACCGAGCCTCTGCTGCTCGGCGTTGGGCTGGGGTGCCCTCGCCTGCACCATCGGCACGCTCTGCTGCAGCAGCAGCTGTTGTTGTTGTTGCTGCTGCTGTTGTTGCTGTTGCTGTTGCTGTTGCTGAACCTCGTCATCGTCGGCCAGCCTCTGAGGCGGCGCCGAAAAGCACAACGAGTCGAAGCAGACGCGCATCTGGCCACAAGCTTCGCTGATCAACTTGCAATCGGAGCCGTCCATGGAAGGCAGAGGAGGAGCAGCAGCCGGGGCGAAGGCTGCCTGAAGCTGCTGGGGCTGCAGCTGAAACTGCTGCGAGAGGCAAGTCTGGTGGGCGACTTGCTGCTGAGCGAACTGTATGACTGGCAGAGTGCGCGGCTGCTGCAGCTCGAGTCGCGCCAGAGGAGCTTGCTGCAATTGGAAGGAGGGAAAGCTGATCGGCTGGCCGGCGAGATTGCAGCCGATGAAGTTTTGCTGAAGCTCGAAGGTGGTCGTGGTCGTGGTCGTGGTAAGTTGTTGTTGTGGTTGCGGCTGCAACACAGTCTGGTGCAGCAGCGGCGGCGGCGCAGCTACTGCGGCATCGCGAGCTAGCGCGACTCCTGGTTGCTGCAGTGACTGTTGCTGTTGTTGCTGCTGCGGCTGCTGCTGCTGAGCTCCCTCCAGCGTCGCGTGCGGCTGCTGCTGCTGCTGCTGGGGGACTTGTTGCCGCTGCTCATGCGATCGCGCAGCTGCGGGCATCTGAATTCGTTCGGTAATACTGCACCGCTGCTGCTACTGACTGCTGCTGCTGCTGCTGCTGCTGGCTCGTAGCTCGTAGTATAGTAGTAGTCGCTCGCTTCGTCTGCGGCCTCGGCTCTGGCCAAGGATATATAATAAAATATATACCGATTGCGTATTAAACGTAGTACGACGCGTCCGTGAGCGAGCCGCCGCTATCGGGATAAATAATATTCGCTGCTCCTACGGGTAATTTCGAGGCACTGAACTACTATACGTGATCGCGCACAAGCACAACTCGACGCACTGATATGTCCAACTCGTTTCAACAGCAATAATAAGTCGAACGTCGTCGTAGTCGTCGTCGTCGTCGTTGCGATGGCACATCGCTCGCTGCTGCTGCTGCGGCTGCAGGCGTGTGCACGTGCCCGAATAGATCTTTTGCGCAGACGACCACACGACTCTGTACACAACACGCTCGTTCTCTCTCTCTCTCTTGTGATGACTGCTCCGTTTTGCAATACTACGCACGGACGGAGCCTCTCTCGCGCACATCGATTGTGCGCCACGCGCGCCCAGCACAACTGCGCTACCGGCGGCGGCTAGGCATTCGACGTTCTGCAGACTCGATATGCGAGCGTCCGTCCGTGTGCTATAACCCGCCTGGCCCCGCCACACCTCCGCTCGCGCTGCAGCTCCATCCGATTTTCGATTGATCGGTAAGGTGGTCGCGACGTTAGCGGCGCTCACGACGACTCGCGGACTCTGTTCTACCGAGCGTAGGATTCTCTCTTTGCGCGCGCCCCTCCACTTGTACTCAGCGGCGGCTGGTAAGAACAGCTCGGCTTTCGCACGCGATCGATTATGATTATCGTCGTCGTTCTAGAATCTGTCGCATTCATGTTTTCGACAATGCCGTGAAACCTACAGATTTCATTTCGATAAAATATTATCTAGTCTATTATAATAGTTTGCAAGTTAAGAAAAAATGGCGAAAGCTAAAAAGCTTTTCGTTATGGGTACGTGTCTTATTTGAAATTATTTTTGAAAAAAGTACATTGCTCTTAATTTTGAATTATATTTTTACAAGCTGTTCATCGTGACATTTCGAAGGAAATTTTAATTTAAGCATATTTCTCCTAAATGATAATCAATGATTCAAAAATACCAAAAGGATTCTTTTTATCAAAATAAAAATCATACTCTAAACATCATTAATTTATTTGTCCAACTTTAAAATAGTCAAAATTCATATTAAAATGTACAAAAGAGTTATTTCAATCGTATTTTGGGTCAAAGTTTACCGATTATGATACACAAAACATCCATATAAATGTTCCAACGGTTCATTTCGTTCTTAATATGATCAAGTTTTAATGAATTCTAGATCAGAAAAAGGATTGAATTAATTTTCTGCTAAAAGTGTTGTAACAAAAAGAAAGCTCTACCTTTGTCAATATTGCGGATAAAAAAGATGTCATTTCACAGATTAAATAATAGGTATTATTTAGTACGCACATACGTAGATGTACTCGAAATGGGATGTAGAAAATTCATTTGGCAAATTGTCTGGTGGCAACTGGTGAAACACATATTTCAGAATGAGAAAGCTCACAGTGAATCAAACTTTGTTTTAACGCATATAGTACAAATTGCTCCCGCGAGACTGTCGCAGCTCCGCTGACACTCCCCAATCAGATGAGAAATGCCAAGTCATATATACGTATATTGGTATTACATATACCCCTTGGCTGCGGGAACTGTTTAATAGTTAGATAAAATAAATGGGAGGATCATTGCAAGTGCTCCATTACGGTACGTACATAATGTGTACATAATAATATTGCAAATCTATGCGTGTATAAAAATGAACTAGCTCACAGAGCAAAGAGTTATTAAATTAAAGTTTGTTTGTTTTCTCGGCAGGGAAGAAAAATGTGGCGAACGCGCGCAAGAATAGAAAGAGGAAGAAGACGACGAGTCGGCTGTATTGCGCGTATAACGCGAGAAGCCGCAGAGTGGATATAGGCGATATATAGCTCGAGGAGGGATGTGCTATACGCTATATATAGCACAGTTACCGTCGAGGTATCTATACGAGAGTATTACAGGGCTATATAGGTTTGGAGCTTGCGGAGATAGGGTATGTATAGCCGTGTAGCTGCGATACAGGTATATAACGTAGGCTTGCGCGCGCGACGCCCGGGGGTTTTAACGCAGTTTCGCAACACTCGAGAAGATTGTGGCGGCCAATGCAATCGAGCTGGTGCGGGCGGCGCTCGCCTATACGTGTATTTCGTGTACGACTATATATAGCTCGCGTTCATGTACACGTATTGTATTGCTATGGGTGCCTAGGCGTGTGTGTCTGTATGTATAAGCAGTGCGAGTGTAGCGGCAGGCGGGAGAATATTTGGCGCAATATCAGAGAGTTGATAAGCCATAAGGCAATTGTGGAAGCGAGTGGAAGACGTCGTTGATACCGGGGCTGCCGCTGGATGGTTGGATGGAGCTGGCAGAGGGGTTGCGTTGCGCTGCTGCTGCTGCTGCTCTGCGGTACTACGTAGTATAGCCCGAGGCCAGGTGAGTCCGAGACCGCTGCTGCTGCTGCTGCTGCTGGTGTGCACGGGCTAGTTAGCGAGTTAGCTGATTGGCCGCCTGGAGGGAGAGATCGAGCTCTGCACGCAGCTCTCTCACTCGGTGGTGGCTGGGGTTCTCTCCGGGAAGCGTAATATCGTAATAGAATAGCGACGTTAGTAATAGCATCCGCGGTAGAGAGCGAGAGAGGATGATGGCGGTAGCTCGATCGAGTGAGCCGAGCAATTTGCATCGCATTGTGTACTCGTTATACCTCCATCTGTCTCTGCCGGCGGCGTGCCTGCTCCCTCCCTCCCTTCCCTCTTTTGCTTTTTCTCTCTCTCTCTCTCTTTCCAGCTATTGCTTTCTCTTTCTCTCTCACTTATACTGCGGCCACTAATTAAAAAAGCACCTTTTTACAACAATAATGCATTTTCGTTCTTGTGTGCTCTTTGGCAACGCCGTGCTGAAAAATATGAGCAACGGCCTAATTCCTGACTCGATCGGAATCCCATCGAAAGGCTTAAAGCCTTTTCACGATGCCCCGCGTCTCCGTGGTTCAAAAGCTCTCGCTCCGTGCCTGCAATTAGAGATGCTTTGATCTTGCGCTCGCGAGCTTTTATCGCGATTCGAACGTATTGAATTTTGTCGCAAAGGCCGGGGGGTCAGCTGTGCCCGAGACTCGAGAGAGCACCGATGCGATTGCCGCGCGCTGCTTTGCCTCGCCGATACACCAGCAGCCCTTATCAATTATTCATAGCCTTATCGTTTTCTGCGCGATCCCCTTACGCCGCAGCCGTAGCGGTATAAGAGCTTAATTGAACGTTTCCTATTTCTCACTTGCTGCATCTTCGTCATCCCGAGATCCCTGGCCTCTAGCTTTTTTCTTTGGTCTTACAACTCGTTATAATCATATTTAAACAAAAATTTAGTTCATTCGGTCATTAGTTCAGCTGGCTACGGAGCTTTTGCCTGATACGAATTTATTACGATCTCGAAGGAGATCGGTTAGGTCACACAGGAACATCGAAGATTATTGCGAGTATGCATTACCAAAATTACCCGTTGAATTATCCGAGCAAAGTCCTAACAAAATAGAAATTCCAATTACCAACTGGCTGGAATTGTTGAAATTCAAACTGATTAAGATATTTCGGCAAGTAGAGCGAGTATAGCGGCTCGAGGTATATACAGAGTCGAGTATAGTTGGATCGAGAGAACGAATGGAATTTCAAGTCCCCAAATGGGAAGTCGCGTGCTCGGAAGCAGTCGCAATATCAATTACCCCGTTTCTCGTGCCACAGACGCGGTGTGCGAAAGAGAGAGAGAGAGAGAGAGAGAGAGAGAGAGAGAGAGAGAGAAAGGAGCTGCAGCCGAGGAGACGACTGACGAGTCGCTGGCGGGCTGCGAGGCTTTCGAGGGGAAGCATATCGCGCGTCTACCTAGCATACGTCTATATAACCGCGTGCAAGTGGAAATACGCCGCGAGCAGGCTCCACACATCTGACATCGGATTAAGTCGGCTCCGAATAGCTCGAGATTTTCCATCTCTCGCGCGAGAGAGCAAGTGAGAGAGAGAGGGATGTGTGCGTGGTGGCGTATCCCAGGCCCCGGCATCGTTGCTTTCGCGGAGTCTAAAATGAAAATTCAGTCGGGCCCACCTCCGCAGCAGCTGCGAGTATCCGAGTCTGACTGGTTCTGTGCGCGGGTGCGCGACGACCGATATGTATGCCTATACGCCAACCCCCCCGCGCACATATCTATCAGCTAGGCGGCGGGCTTCCGCTCGCGCATTTTCTTCTCGCTCCACTTTCTCGTTCGTCGCAGCTTCTCTTCTGCCTCGACTCTCTTGACTCGATCTCGCAGTTTCTTATATTCCCGTCGGTATATATAAGCCAAGCCAGCTCTCGTGTTCCCTCGCTTATTTCGTTTTCCAGGCGCGCGCTCCAAACAGATACCTCCTCCTCCTTACATCCACTGACTCTCTTCTATACATCTATAAAGCTCGCGAAATTATATTTTCCTCAGCTTTCCGAGTGAAAGGTTACATTTTCTTTTTTGCTCCAGCTCGTACATGCAATATATACATGTGAGTCTGCGACGGCAATGCAATTTTCTTTCTGCTGCATGGAAAAATGCATGCAAGCTATACATGTTTAATGTCAATTTGCCAGACGCGCGCAATTATTCTTTAGACACGAGAATATCTTCATTAATAAATCCATACGTAATCACGAGCTATGTACAGGCGCGGTACGGAAACAAAAAACCAACCCCCCGCTATTGAAGGGCATCGGGTGCGAGAATGGCACGAGAGCAGATATGATTGTACTCGGTGCGTATACAATTGTACTTGGGCACAATAACAGAATGTGCGGTTCAATCTATTACGAGTCCAAGTGGTTAAGTAAGTGATTCTCGAAAGCGCGCATAAGAGTATAAGTTGCTTAGTAAGGCAGTTGGTAATATGTCGCCGGGATTTGGCGTCGGATAATCCAGTTTGTTTGATCAATAAGCTCCCGTGCGTGTAGTGCTAATGGTGTACGTAACGGCAAGTATAAGGCAGCCAGCGTACCGAGGGGTCCATGTGCCGAGTAGCATACGTGCATCGATACGAGCCAACGCCGCGCGTACTCGATGCGAAAACAGCCAGCTGGCTTTGGCACGCATAGAGTATACGTGTAAGTGTGTTGCAAGGACATGTAAAAAGCGCTACGGATACCGACGTTCCCGACTCGCGCACGGCAAGCAAAAAGCAAGTGCGAAATTACGAAAGATGTATATACCTGCGTATAAGAGGTGTCAAGTCAATGTGCGCGCCGACTCCGACACTTGCGAGCTTAAAGCACGTATAGCATCTAGCCTAAGTGTACACGTATACTCGATACGGCGAGCCCCGTGCCAAGCAGGGTAAAGGTCGTGAGAAGTCGTGAGCTCGCCGTCAAGAGAAGCTCCCTTCGAGCTCGTATCGCAGCATCTCAGGGGACTCCCAGGCACATCGCACGGACGACATAACTCGAGCACTGGGATATCATTTCTAGTCTCGGAGCTGCGACTCGTCTCGATTGAAGCTCAACCTATGCGCGATTCAACCTGTCCTCCACTCTGCGACACTTACCTTGCTTCCTTTTATATTATATATTATATATAAAATGGATTACACATATATACAGCGAGGATACGTCAAGTGGCTTTTATATGTTTTCCTTTCATTCGATATCTCTCGGTTCGGCTTGTATCAAATACTTGAGCTTTCGATCTCTGCTTGAAAGTTCCTCTTGACTCGATGTTTGCAATGATACACCTTTCAGATTTCCAACACAATTCAAAACTATAACGAGGTCAATAAAAGTCGTTAAAAGATATTAATTCTCCTTGACTTTGACGTCTTTTTCATTCTTCAAGCGAGCTTTTGTTTTCAAGAACAAAGCTATTGATGAGCTTCAGCATAAAGAGCTTGTTTTATTAATAAAGCCAGCGCTGGCGATTTCGTGCGCTTTGGTACAAGAAAGCTTTGACGAGCTAACGATACGATCTGTGGGATGAAAGTCGAGCTCACGTTATTACAAGATCCGCGCGTGTGCAGCGAGGAAAAAAATAACAACAAATCTGTCGCACTCGTCGCACAGCGGCAAGCGATCTCCGTTGGCATCGAGTCAACTCGTCTCTGCGCGCGAGCTCGCTCTGCTTTCAAGTCAGCGCCCCTTAATACAGCGCGAGCGCGAACATGTAGAGCCCCTCGTTGCATTTTAAATCAAAGCTCGGAGGTAACGCAATCACCAGGCATCACGACGCGTCCACAATTTTCTACTTTAAGCTACTTTATGTATTAGTGTTTCGTGCTTCCTCTCTTGCTCTTGCTATCCCCCTTTCCTCTCTTTCTCTCTCCTTCCCCCTCCTCCTCCTCGTCCTCCTTCTTTTCCTCCCTTACCCTTTTCGCCCCGTTCCCTCTCCCTTTCCCTAGACTCGAATTCGCCTTCTCCGCATCTCATCCCACTGTTACGATCTCTCGTCGTTCTCTCGCAACATTATTCGTGCCCACTTGTACTGTCGTCGACGCGCTAGCTCTTTTAACCAAGTTATTTTATTAAACAATCTCGAGAGTAGCGTAACGACCCAACTATAATATATGCATAACAAGTACAGCATAACGTAGTCTTGAAACTTATCACTATTCTCTCTTGCAATCTCTTTTTACTGATTTTACGCGCATCGCTGATCATAATTCCGATCTCTTTCTAATTGGCTCTATTTGTATTATATAGTTATAATATGTATAAAATATGTTACGCGATATTTTCAACACTTTGAGCTTTCCAATTTTTCCCCCTCGTAACTCATTTCATTATCAGAATTGACGATAAAATTGCTCTCGAAAAGTTATATGAATTATGCAATATACGCTCGTGATAAGATATCTCGTGAATCAAGTTGATGTATAAATTACGAGCTTTGAAACATGTGCAAGTTAAATGCACTTATACAATGTACTTATTAGTGCTCGTAAACGCTCCTCTCGACTTGAGTGGTATAAAGCAAGTGCATTTCATCTAACCGATTACAGAAAATGAGTACCGAGATACATGAGTGGAACCAACTTTATTCAATTAAATAAACTCATAAATTAATCATTTTTGTTCTGACCAAAAATTTATAAACAACTATATCAATTTAATTAAAATTAATTGCCGAAAAAATATTCTACGAGTTTTTATTACTTAATTCACCGAAATTGAAAATTTAGCAAAACATTACGATTTCTTGCATTTTCTATATGAAAAGAAGCCAAGTTAATTTTTTATAAAAGAAGAATTCTTTATCAGAGAATGAATTATACAGTCAGTATTGCTTTTGACTTACAAATAAACTAGAATTAAAAAAGTAATAAACTTTTATTTCAATTTGGATTATATTCAAGTAATTGAAAAATAGAAACAATCAATCTAATCATGATCACTTTGAAAGAATTTTATGTAATTTATTTCGTTTACTCATGGATGTTTTTTTATGCACGATAATAAAAGGTCATTTTTTTCTACCAACTTTTGCATATGAATTCATATAGTGGTTTTTTTACATTTGAAATAAAAATGAATGTCAAGCAGTCGTAGCAAGAAATTTTATGAGACACGAAAACAATTTCTTGCAACATCTTTTTTATACACAATAATGCTTGTACATTATGGAGTTAACATTATGAAATTGCAAAATAGTAAATTATAGCTCGAAATTTTGATTCTATTACATTACTAACAAATTTTTTCATTAGTTACAGAACATCATTCAAGGATCAAGCCCGGCAGGAGTGAAAGAAATTAGGCTGTAGACTGAGGTAATGGCAGAAAAGGAAATAAAATGGGAGTCGATCGGTGGCAAAGCAGGCGTAAAAAGAGATTGCAGGTAAAGATAGTTGGGGGCACAGCCAACAAGAGTATAAATGGCAGTTGGATCAGTATAGCAGTAGCAGCAACGGGAACAACAACAATAACAACAACAATAGCAAGCTGCAAGAGAATAAAAGCGGCAGTGCGGCGGGCGACGTAGGAGAGGCTGCGTAGAGAAAGAGAGGAGAGAGGAGGAGTGGACGATCAAGTTGTTGGTAATGAAAAAGCAATCGCGGCGCCTTTCAATTTGCGCCTAAGTGACAATCCCCGTGGATTATCGAATTCGGAGCGTCGGGAGAGCGAGCGAGGAGCGAGCTTCGGCCTCGTCAACGTGGTGCATAGGGGGGATGGAAAAAAGCGGGGGGTGGCTGCTTAGGGGAGTCGGGCGGCAGACTCTTTCGCAGACACTGGCAAAGGTGTCGACCGTGGATCGGGAAGGCGGCGCCGAGTCGCCAGGGGGGCGTGTCGGCTGCGCGCGCAGATAGCGTCGTCGTCGTCGGCGCCGCTGGCCACGCGGGCGACTCGTCCTCTGTGACGACGACGACGCTGCTGACTCGTTGTCGGACGTCGCGACTCGCGAGTCGCAGTGCACATGCCGAAGCCGGCGCAGCTCTCCTCCTCGCGCACATGGTTTTGCATGGATTAATTACACTCGGCCGCGTGCCGTGAAGCTCATTAGTTGCTAAAGTGCGAAAAAAAGCTCGGGGTCCAGGAGAGGTCGGTCGGTGCGTAGGCCAAGCAGTAGCAGCAGCAGCAGAGGCTCCCTCCCCGGTCTGTAGCGAGGCAGAATAGCGAGGCCCGGAGCAGCGGTCAGCCGCGGGCCCGCCGCAGGCCCGAGGAGCATTGCGACGACGATCGCGACGACGACGAGTTCAGCAGCCACGGCCGCCGCCACCGCCACCACGACCCTCTTCCGACCGGGCGCCGACTGCGGCAGCCAGCCCGCGGCTGCCCCCAGTCCGCCCCTCGTCAAGGTCAGTACTTCTTTCTTAGCTCTCGATTCTCGCCTGTTATCTTACGACTACTCCGTTGAGGTCTTTCGCTCTTTCGTATTTGCAACTCGCTCAAAGTGCGCATTGGGCTCGACGTCAGGGGGGGGGATCCCTCGAGCTCGTCGTCGCTCACGTCGCCGCTCGACGTCATTATCCGCGCATTATATGCGAGTAGTAGTAGTGCCGCGCGACGCTCGCCGCACATGCGAGGGGTCAGGATTAGGATGTCGCCCATTACGGCCGTCTATACTTCCATTTCCTCCTCTTATCGGTCGGCCGATCTTGCATCGCTCCATCCTCCGCTGACAGCAGCGCGCGTGCCCAAGGCTCTGATTTCTCTCCGTCTCTTCCTAGCTTTCATCCGTCTCGCGTGCTTCGTTCGTCGCTTGAAATTACTGTCGAAATATCAATTAATCGTGTAAGGTTATCGAACCGATTACCGTAGATATTCTTCCCGAGATCCGTTGTGGAGCTTGCGATATAAACACGCGCTAATTATGAAAATCAGAACGAGCTTTCGAGCGGTCGTAAAAATATGCATGTGATGCGAACAGCGCTAGATACGCGCACAAAACGCCGAAACACTCGTGACACTCTAATAAATTGCATCAACTTTTCGTGCTTGACATTTTCGGCGCTCTTTTTCCCGCGCTGTATCTATTTAACACTACTCGACACTCGTTGCTTGAATTTAAAGCTCCGCGCTCGGTTTTAATCCCGTTTAAATTCTACATGAGCTTGAGTCGTAATCACATGGTCACGCGCCTGCATATATATTGGACGGATGGTCTTTTTAGCGTGTCGACGTGTCGTTAAACTCCAATCGAATCAAACTTTTTCGTTTTACTCGCGCTCGGCTCCGTATAATCACATAAAGATACATATTTTGCACAGAAAAAGTTGGTGTGCGTAGTTTAACGAGAGAGGTGCGGAAAAATGCGGGAAATATCATCGGGCGGAGCGCCAGCGTCCGCGTCGGAATAGATTGAATTTTCTCGATTAGACAATGCGCGCGCGACGTTAAACGAATTATTTTCTTTATCTTTTCTGCCTGGCATTCTTCTCTCTCTCTCTATTTCTCTCTTTCTCTTTTTCGTCCGTGCAATCGGCAATTTCGTAATTTTCTCGGAGATTACGCTTTCTCGTTTGCACTGGCTGTGCCTGATTAAACTACCGTTCCTAAGTGGTAAATTACGTGCTCTCATGAGCGCTCATTCAATTATCTCCGTAGCTACTCGCGCCAAAGTATACCCACTTCTCTCTCTCTCTCTCTCTCTCGCTGCTTCTGCTGCTGCTGATTCGGTGCGCGTGTGTGCGTATAGTTGCGCCGTATGCTGCTTACTGCGGCTAGGCTGCTGTATAGCGAGCTGCAGCTCGTCGAGTGCGCCTGTGAGTGTGCGTTATATACAATTCTGCGCGACTGAGAGATGACACGCCAACGGCCAACGTCGTCGTAGTCGTTTTTCCTACTTCGCATGTAACCCGCACCCGCATTCGCGCTCGTTTCCCTCGTGCCGCTAACACATTTTATTTACTCGAGTGCAGAGTCGTAGTAGTAGCAGCAAGCGGCCGAGTCGCTGTATACGCAAACCTCCTTCCTTCTGCCGAGTCCTGCAGACGCATCGTATTCTTTCATCCCTTAAATATTCAAATTGCACTCTCTTCTTTTCACTTCTTTGCCGGCAAATCGTAATGTACTCGCAGCAGCAGCAGCAGTGACAGTGGCTCCGCAGCTGAGAGAATATTTTTCATAAAACGCGTATATGCCCCAGCCCTCGCAGATACACAGCGAATCGCACGGCTGAATTTTCAATTGTTTTATCGCGTTACCGCGAGTTGCAGCGGTATATATACCTTCATAATGGATGACCCGTGCGTACACGGGCTTGATTCGAAAAAACCGCACGGATCATTCGACGAGTAGGCGCTACTCGACGCGATACTACTCCAAGCCCACTCGATGAGAGATCGAGTTAATCAACATCAACATATTTGATATAATACTCGAGTTGCTATGGCCGACTCGACCTGCATGAAAATTCATTTAGCATACATCAAAACTTGCAGCTGAATTAATGTTAATTTTTAATGACATTCGGTCAACGCCACATGTAAATTGATATTCTGTTTTAAAATATCGTTTCGCCTCTCATCTACTCTCTTTTTCCATTGGCGTTATTCATAATTATTTTTTGGCATATTTTTATCGCTATAATCCGACCCAATCATTTAACTATCAAAATAAATTTCATGTAACTTAGTCGAATAATTTTGTACTCTCTCGACATAATTTCAAAATTTATTCTACAAAACTCGGTCAAATTAATTTTTTATTGCCTTTTTTATGATAAAATATAAACGAGTTAATGCCAATTAATAATAAATGCCAATAAGTATCGACTGCCAACGACAAAAGCTGATTATCCTTATGTGTACGCAATGTATGTAGGTAAGTATACCTATATAGGACACGCACGTATTCTAGGAAACTTGGTTCACAATCCTTTACGTGTTGCCAAACTTTAGCAAAAGTTTCGAATGGAATTATAGAGTTAAGGGTAATTATTTTGGAACGTGTTATTACGACTACATATATCAAGAAGAGCCGTTTTTTAAGAGCTCAAATCAAAATTTTCAATTGCTTTATTTATTTAAAAAATGATTCAATTTATTCATTAATTATACAATTGTTCTACAATTGTACTACTTTTTAAAGAATTGGTTGCTTGCAATGAAGAAATACTCGTGTTCAATTATACAAAACTTATTAAATTAATTGAAGAGGTGTATGAACGCCCCTACTTTTAACGATCAAAACATTATTAAATGGATTAATTGCGCCTCTTTAATTTTGTCGATTCACTTGATTTAAATTGAAAATACAATCATTCAAGTATTATCATAAACGATACTTATTTTCGAAGGGTAAATCTATTGATAAACACTGGTTCAATTAGTGGAAGAAGTTTTTAATATTTGTTCATAATGTTTAAACAAATAAATTATTGTGGATAAAGAGGTAAAAGTATGATATTTAAAAAAAATTGTTTTTATTCGCGTATCTGTTTCATCGTTAGCAATAGAGTCATTAGAATATTTAAGGAAAATGATTATGTAAATTAGGTAGAGTGGAAGCTTGCAATTAATTTAGCACTAGCTGCAGAGAGTACGCACAGATCATTTAATGGTTAATAGGTTAAATCAGTTCGAGGTCGATCCAGAGGTCGTGAACGGACAGTTGGGGCGAGTGCATCATAATCGCTATAAGGACGACGAATAGCTCGAGCCATAATTAAAGCCATTATACATTTAAGCCGCGAGCTTGCGGAGATTTCGCGCGAAGCTACGAGACTCGCTACGAGTAAACAAAGGATTTCGTGCCAATGCTCAAGTGGTGTGCGCAATAACAGCTTTACGCATTAAAGGTAATGTCAGGCGAAGAGAGCGTCGGACAAGTTTAGCGGTTTCCTACACAAACAAAGTTTCAAACTGCTAGGACTCGAAGAGGGAGAGAGAGGAGGAGAAAAAGAAAGAGAGCATCTAATAAAAGTAAACTACGTACTGATACGCCTTGAAAAGTAAATAGTTGTAAGATGGGAAAAACGGCACGGCGCACTATATTGTATATATATGGCAATATAGTTGCAGAAGGGATGAGAGTTAGCTATAGGCGAGCTCGGAGAAACGCCTGTCTCGTGAGTATGCAACTTCCGGTCGGCAGGAGGTAGTTTGAAAAGTGATAAAAGTAGGATAGCAGCAGCTCGGATCAGCAGCGCAGGGTAGCTCAAGCGAGTCAAGAGAAGCTTAATAAAAAGAAACGTTGTATAGACTCACACATGCACGGACACACACAGAGTCGTGCGCCGCGGCGGGTGCATTCACGCACACACCGACCCCAACCCACACTTACACTGTATAGTATAGCAGGCACAGGCGGGTGGGCGCGCACACCACGTACGGTCGAGCGCGCTCAGCGTATAAAGCGTGTAGCGAGAAGCGTAATATAAGCTCGCAAGCTCGACTTTACGTGGTCAATAAAAATACGATTTTCGGTGCTATCTACTCTTTCGCCTACAATGCCGCTTTCGGTGTAAAGCAGTGGAGGCAAAGGAGAGGGGTGTGCAGTACATATACCACAGGGAAAAAGAGGAAAAGGAGGAGGAAGAGGAGTGGAGGAGCCAAGAAGGAGGGCGAGGGGAACGAGGTTAGAGGGTGAGAGGGCAATATAAATACTGCACGCGGTGGTGGCGGCGGCGGCGGCGGCGGCGCGTGGGTGCGGCCAGGCAAGATAAAGAAGCAGAGCGAAAGAAGTCGTGCGAGTCCGCGCCGAGTCAGAAAATAAAGAGATGGCGTAAGACACGCCTTCGTCCTGGCGCGCGGCCTAGTCGTTGGCTGGAGGAGCCGCGACGAGAGATGCTGCCTGCGCGCCAGGATACTATTATAACGACTCGGAGAAACTACGTAAGAAAGTGACTGCGAGAGGGAGAGATACTGAACGGCAGAGAGAGGAAAAGAAACCGAGAATAAGATAGCAGCAGACCGCAAAAGCTGCGCCGACGTCGTTGCTCTATAGCCAGCAGCAGCAGCAGCAACGTATAGTAGCTACGAGCTGCTTTTTAAACGCCTGTTTTACGCTTTTCGACTTTTTCGAGATTTATCCTCGCTGCTTCCTCGCTAAATCGTCTTCCGGACGAAATTTACGGCCAGGCAATAATGCGCAGCAGAACAGAGAAACTCACCCGAACATTAATTCTCGGCGACTTGAGCACCCACACACATACACGTCTGTGCACTGTGTACCAGAACGTACTCATTCTTATCTCACACCAATAACTTATTTTGCTGTAATCAATTTCTACTTGACCATCGGCAACGCCGTTTTAATTATTTCCCCGAAAAAGTCCAATCAAATACAAAAAATTGCGGAATTTGTTTTTCGCCAGCTCTTCTGTTAGTTGTAAAAGTTTCCAATTACAAGTTTT